CTTATGTCCCTTGTCTGTGTCCCTGCACTGTGGAGTCGCATGGTAGAGTCAATGGTCTTTACACTCTTCTATTTTCACACGAGGGCTGCCGCAGTGTACTATCCTTTTTTTATACCCGTTTGACAAAACGGAAATTGAATTCAGCTTGAACACACTTTACTGTTTATCACAACAAAGGGCTAAGCAAGCTCACAACACTGACAAGGTATGCGATACAGTATGAGACCAAACTTAACTTTAGCTCGTCTCAACACAGTAAACAAAACAAGTGTCTCCTAGCAACGACAACTGCGCTAAACACTAATGAGACAAGAAATAAATACACTTACGATCTGCTTTTAACTTCCGCTGATTGACTGCTTCTCTCAAAGAGTATTTCTTTACACTGTCTTTTGCTAGCGCTTGAACACACTTTACTGTTTATCACAACAAAGGGCTAAGCAAGCGCACAACACTGACAAGGTATGCGATACAGTATGAGACCAAACTTAACTTTAGCTCGTCTCAACACAGTAAACAAAACAAGTGTCTCCTAGCAACGACAACTGCGCTAAACACTAATGAGACAAGAAATAAATACACTTACGATCTGCTTTTAACTTCCGCTGATTGACTGCTTCTCTCAAAGAGTATTTCTTTACACTGTCTTTTGCTAGCGCTTAAACACACTTTACTGTTTATCACAAAGGGCTAAGCAAGCGCACGACACTGACAAGGTATGCGATACAGTACGAGACCAAAACGCAATTAACCTGAACAGATCATATCTTCCTATTTTCTGCTATTTATAGCACAAAAAAACATGAATGAACATCGGAATGTATATTGAAAGAAACAGAAGAACTTACTAAAATGTGTCACAGTGTTTCAGCTGTGGAAAGAAGTTAGTAAAACAGCTTAAACTGTTTTGTATCTTATTTTAATGTATGTTTGAGTAAATGTCATTAAAACAATTTTACGACAGCCACCCATTTAAATAAATTTGATCAACAACTAAAGATCAACAATGAATTGGAGTGGCATTGGTCTGTTACATTAATTTAATTAAATAAATATATACTGGGGGCTGGGGAACTAAACTTATAGTAAGCCTTTGATATATATATAGCCTATTCCTAAAAGTAGTAGCTTTGTTTAGAAAAATAGCAAGGAGATATTGTAATTATTTATTAATAAACTAGTGTTTTCCCAGTCAGTGTGTCGGCTGCAAAGATGACGTGGATGCTGATTCCCCATCTCCGTAGTACAGTGGACAGTACAGGCGGATTGTAGACTTGGAAGTAAACACCCTCTGCTATGATTGGCTAACAGCTGTGTATGTTTGACAGACTACATCCTTCACAGATGTACGCTGATGTGATTTAGGTTAAAACGCATAAATACTCATATCAAACAATCTGTTTAACAGACAAAGCAATAGTGATCACGTAAAAACTTTTGTGTTGCGACGGATCCAATATAGTCAGCACAGCATCGTCTTTATCATCTTTCTGAATATCCTGCGTCGAATTGTGCCTTGTTTGTAAACGAATCCGCAGTAAAATTAAGTGAACATACTGTAGGACCAAGTTCTTACTGACGCGGCCTGGAACTTCATAAAAAAAAAGTTCATCCACTCTTTTCTAACGTTGGGATCAGAAGGAAGGCAATGCAAAGACTGTTTTTCTACAACTTGGCACTGAAAGACACTTGTCTTGTCTTCAGAGCCATCTTTATTGTTTGGTTTCGGCGTAGACCTGCGTTCACCTCTCTCGTAAACACACTACATGCGTGAATCGGTGGGCAGGGCTAAACAGGCAGTGTTGTAGAAGCAGGCATTGATCTTCTTCTGCGGAGGTGGTGTTTAGCCACACTATTACATCATAGAGTGGTACATTCCACAAGCTGTCATTTAGGCAGACTGGCTTCGGTATAAGCTGTTTTTAGACTAACGAGAAAGTTTTGAGTTCTGAAACTTTAAGGACATTTTTATAGTACAATGACCTCTTATGTCAAAAGATCAAGGGAATTTTGGTTTCTCAGTTCATGACCCCTTTAATTTGGTTAATTTTAAAGTAGACATTTCAAGATCATCTTGATATTGTGAGTGTATAAAAATAAAATAAATCCCTTGACAGTTTTGAATTATTTATTACTCTTATCTGTATGAGCAAAAATGACAGCATATTTTAAGTTTTTTCCACTGTTATTAGGAAAAAATGCCAGTGATTGCGCCGGTGCCTCCATGTCATGCAGTAAGAGTGCTAACACCTTACACACTCCGCACAAACACTTGGATATGTACCTAATAAAGCACATTTATCTAGTGTAACATTAGAGCAAATGGCGGTGTAAAGTTGCTACTACTTAAATGTTTCAATGATAAGCCATATTTGAGGTCAATGAATGATGCAATTTTTGGATTTTCTGCTAGATATAATGTAATTATATCTAGCATATAATTACTAGATATATACCAGCATATTTAACTGCTGGTAAATATGACCAGCAGTTATATTGTTAACTGCTGGTCCTCAAGGACCAGCAGTTAACAATCTATCTGTCATGGACAGTTTTTTCTGTGAATAACCAACTAATAAAGTTTTAGTCAACTTAACATTTAGTCGACTATTAGGGTGCAGCCCTAAACAGTTTTTAGGTTATAACTTAAAAACTATAACTTTTAGGTTATAACTGTCTCTGCTGTAGACTGGTGTAGAGGTATTTTAATGCTGGTGTCACACTGGTTACAATTAACAGCATGAGAGATGGTGAGAACACATGCTATTTAATCGCATGCTATAAATAATCCATAACAATTTGCATTACAGTTTCAGTTTTAAGTCAATTAACTGAAAGGTCAGAATTTAAAAACTCAGTAGAGGTCTCTCTTAGTTTTTTTTTTAGTTTTTTTTTTTTTATAAAGATTTTATACATGTTTCAGTAATCAGATAAATTCCAATTTCAGAACTGTCACGTCTTTAATGGAGAGATGTTATGCTAGTGTTGTTTCCTCCGAATTACGAAGACAGTTTGTGTATTGTAATTCACAGAAAGTCTATGTTGTCTCCCATAAACTTGCGTCTTTTTTGTGACGTCTTTAATGCATGTGTATTTATCATCTAAAAAAAAAAAAGTAAGTAGTGAAAAGTGAGTGATGTGTTCTTATTTCTCTATAGGGTAAGGAGATTATTGAATACTACCTGAGGGAGCTTGAGGAAGAAGGTATAACTTGCGTACCTCGGTGGAGCCCTTGCCCACCATCACCCACAAAGCCCATGGTGCCAGTTGTTATCCCTGCATTGCCTATCACTCCCACAATCACCATTGAAGCCCCTCCTGAGAGCATGAATGAGATTCAAGTGTGTAAAGAGGGCAGCAGTCCTCTGGGCAGCCTGAACGATGCCCTTGTAGCCAGTCCAGACGGTTAGTACCAACACTGTTGCCACTCTGACCTTTTCTACATTATATTAGAACATTGTATTTTTTTTGCCTTCCCTTTTGTACTTTGCCTCAAAATTATACCACAAATATAGCATGTTTCTGTTTATTAAAACTTAGCATTAAAAAAAATCTTCAATTTAGAGTTTGTTTGGGAACATTTGTTCAGCTTAAAGGGATAGTTTACCCAAAAATGTCCTTAATTACTCAACCAGTAAGACCTTCGTTCATCTTCGCAACACAAATTAAGATATTTTTGATCAAATCTGAGAGCTTTCTGACCCTGCATAGACAGCAATAGAACTAGACTTGTGCTGGTATTCGGTAATGCGATATATCACGGTAATGAATATGCACGATATTGTTATCGTGGGCACTTCTAAATACCCTGAATAATTATATATTACAAATTATTCCGAATTTTGAATGCATTTTAAGAATACTTTTCCCATCAACTGGTCAAAATGCACAACACCGCTGTATGCTGCGTGAAAGACGCGTGCGCACTCTGATGTAAACAAGCGCGGATGTGAAGCACATGGCGGAACATGTGAGAGACGCTCTGGATGAAAGCGCACTTTCACTCTCTGACAGCAGATGGCGCTAAACTGCAGAAATGATAATAATAATAATATAATAATTCATTTAAATGCAGCCTTTACCCCGGAAACCCTGTAAACAAAGCAGCTGCATTACTTCCTGTTTCTGAATCATGTTTAAATGATTTAAATAGCCATTCAGATTTGTGTATTTGCTATGATGTTCATCACAGCGCCAAATACTTAAATATTTAGACTTAATAGGCTATTTATTTTCAAACTTTTTTTTACATTTTAATCTGGACTACAACATGCCCTAGATATTGTTTGAAAGTGTTTTGATTCTTTATTGTTCGGTCACACTTTACATTAGGGCTTCATTAGTTAACATTAGTTAATTCATTAGTTAACATAAACTGCCAATGAAAATTCTTCTGAACATTCATTAATCTTAGGTATTCCAATATTTAATAACACGTTGTTAAAATCTAAAGTTGCAAGTGTGTTATTTAATGAGCTAACATGAACTAAGACTTGTATTTTTTTTAAACAAAGATTAATAACTTCTGTCGCAAATGTAGCTATTGCTCATTGTGAATGTTAATGCATTAACTAAGGTTAACTAATTAGGTCTTATTGTAAAGTGATACCTATTGGTCTTTATAGTTCTTTTGCACTTTAATCTGTGTAAAACTTTTAACTTTATAAATTTTTCTGTTTTACTTTATTGCATTTAAATGTTCAGTTATTTTTGTTATAAGAAAAAAGTTATTAAACCTGTTATACTGTATTATGACAGCACTTTTTAAAAACTAAATTTCAATATCGTGATAATACCGCATACCGTGATAAAAGCATTAGCAATAAATCGCAACATGAAAATTTGATACCGGCATACCCCTAAATAGAACTAGCACATTCAAGGCCCAGAAATGTAGTAAGGACGTTGTTAAAATAGTCCATATGACATTAGTGGTTTAACCGTAATGTTATAAAGCTACAAGAATACTTTTTGTGTGTTGACTTTATTCAACAATTCTTCTCTTCCGTGTCAATCTCCACTGCACATTCACAAGAGTACTGCGATGCATGCATGTGGTGCTGCTGACACAGGAGCCGGTGTTCTAATGTAGAAACACGCATGTGCTGCACCTTGTTTACAAGCAGAGGAATGTACACGCTTCCGTCGTGGTACTCTCGTGAATGGCACAAAGATTTCTTCCCGGAAGAGAAGAAAACGTTGAATGAAGTCGTTTTTTTTGTTTTCTTTGCGCAGAAAAAGTATTCTTGTAGCTTCATAAATTTAAGGTTGAACCACTGATATCATATGGACTATTTTAATGATGTCCTTGCTACGTTTCTGGGCCTTGAACGTGGTAGTTCCGTTGCTGTCTATGCAGGGTCAGAAAGCGCTAATCTGTGTTCCAAAGATGAACAAAGGTCTTACGGGTTTGGAACGACGGTTGAGTAATTAATGACTGAATTTTTTGGTGAACTATACCTTTAACGTTTCATATAAACATTGTTTATTTAAGATGTGCTAGATGTAAATTGTTTCAGTCTATGTTTAGATAAACTGGATGCAGACTACATCAAACGTTATCTGGGTGACCTCACACCCCTTCAGGAGAGCTGTCTGATTCGCCTGCGCAGCTGGTTGCAGGAGACACACAAGGGCAAGGTGAAATGCGCACACACATTTCTAATTTTCTAATTTTCATTCAGAAGGATCGATATCTATTGGCATGTGTGATTAATCCGCTGATATGTGGACATTATGAGATTATTGGCATTGGCTGATAACTGTGACTGTGTATGTATGATAAACCAGATGGTTTATCCTTGTTATTAATGCATAGGTATATGTATAGAGAGAGAGAGAGATATTAGCCATCTAATAATTATTACTCTAATTATTAGAGCCATAAATTTAATACATTAGAGTTGTGTATTATGTAAAAAAAAAAAAGGCTCCCCCCCCCCCCCCCCCAAAAAAAATTAAAAAAAATGTCTTTGACTGTGTGATGCTCATATATTTCCATTTACGTCAAGCACTTTTTGCAAGGAAAAGTAGGTCACATTAAAATACAATTTGTGCAAATGCGTCATTCCCTCAAAACGTTTTATGTACGAAAATAAGACATATCTGCAATTTCAATTTCTGTTCTCATTTCTTAATTACATAATTTCTGTAATAAGGGCATTCATTTTTTTAAGCATAGCGACATGTATTCAAACAATTCACTAATGATCAAGTTTATGATCTCGTCACATTTTGTCAGTAGCAGTCTAGAAACCAACCTGTCTAGCTTAGTTGTTGATCCTCCTGTCCTCTTAGATCCCAAAAGATGAGCATATTCTAAGGTTCCTGCGTGCACGGGACTTCAACATAGATAAGGCACGAGAGATCCTTTGTCAGAGTCTGACCTGGAGGAAGCAGCATCAGGTGGACTACCTTCTGGACACCTGGAGCTCTCCTCATGTGTTGCACGATTACTACACCGGAGGCTGGCACCACCACGACAAGGGTGAGTGAGCACGTTGATGCCCTGTCAGTTAAAGGTATTTCTCTCATTCATTCGTTGCCAATACATACAGGCTTACTGAAGTGTTTATTTTTGGGCTGTCAATTTAACACGTTAATATAACGAATTAATTTCGAGAAGAAAAAAAATAATGTGTTCAAATTTTAATTTGAACCTAATTGTCTAAAATATAACGCAATATTAAGTTCTTATTTATTGAAATGTTGTATAAAAGCAACATCACATTTGCATTCATGCTATTAGGGACAAAAACAGCACTCGGTGATATTGCACTTGTTGCTCTTGTGATATTGCTTAACTATATCATTCATAAGATATAAATATAAGACAAAGTCTCATACAGGGGTGTTTTTTCCTTAATATCTTGAATTTTAGGGGCATATAACTGCATTCTATACGCTATATTACACAGTGAGTTGTTGCCGTGCATCATATTCGTCACCAATCAACTATATAGGTGTGTTCAGCTTAGGGCTGTCAAAATGGCTGAAAAACTAAATTCGAATTTTGTACTTAAATATGATCAAAATTCGAATTATATTCGAATTTAAAATGCATAATTTCAGTTAGGGTGAAGAAAAGCTTTAGGCTTCTCTCCTGAGGCCACAAGAGGGCGCATAGAGTAAAATATTACTAATGCACGTTTATTCAAAGCATAAGATAACATGACTATCTGCGAAAAAAAGTGCATAATGTTTAAAATAATGGCAAATGGCAATGGTAATGGCAGTGGTATGGGGAAAAACCCGCCATAATTAAGTTGCTTAAACAACTATAAACAAAACAGCATCATGCAGGGCTTAAAGTTCTCCGGCATCGTGCCGGATCTCCGGCGTGCAGCGTTTGGCTGCAGAAAAAAATAATCCTACATTTAAAAAAAACTTGTTGATATCACTTTCGAGTCCATGACTTTCACTCAGCTTTCACTCTCAACCAAACTAACATTACTAGCCAATCAGAATGTTTTGCTCTTATAAACACGAGACGCGCATAATAGTATCCAACTGCAGAGTCGCAGCCCTGATGAATGGAGAAGCGCGACACGTTGAAAAAGCTGCGAGGCGCAATGTTCAAAGATGTCCATCTAGTGCATATTTACATAGAAAAACTAACTAAAAAGCAGCGGAGCTTTATAAACAGCTCAGAGTAATCACGTCATCTCCATAAGTACGATATGATTGCCAAAACAAATTTACCAGGATTTTTAAAAAGATCCTGTTCACACATGACATGATCTCTTAATGGTAACTTACCGGTAAAGACTAAAGGATAAACTCTTCCTCTGTATATGCTGTGAATTTGAATTGCTTAACATTCATCTGGGAAAACTGTGCATTTTCTCACTAGATTTGTAACGTAAATCATTTATAAACCTTTGCCAACACAGGAGAATACATAATATTTCTAAA